GTCTCTCTGTATATACGGCTTTGGAATAACGTCAGTCAATTAATAAGTCGATAATCATGTTGAAACAGCCAACTGATTGAGTAGGTGCTTTCATTATGTTAATGTTACTGTATGTATTTCTATTTAGTTTTAGGGATTTATTTTGAAATACGTTTTGCTACAGAACTTAAGAAATAAGGGTATTTTATTTTACTCGTAAAAATATTGTGAAGATATATTCTAATATTGAGGTAAATAACCTATTATTTAAAATAAATATAAAACCCAAACTATCATTCTGTGTATCGCTTTTCATTCAGTTATACCGGTTTCGGGAAATTCCACCATTAACACTGGACAAATCATTCAGTTATACCAGTTTCGGGAAATTCCACTAGTAACACTGGACAAATCATTCAGTTATACCGGTTTCGGGAAATTCCACCATTAACACTGGACAAATGAAAACTGAAGAAACGAAACTACGTTTCATATAGTATTGTAGTGTATATTATATTTTGAGTATTATTTTACTCACCACAATATATTTATATAGGATCTAACGAGTGTCCTGCTAATTGATTCTTCTAAATTATTCAGCAGACAAGCTGTTTAAGATACAAAAATAAATATGAAATTTAATCTATTAGTCGATTCAATGAGTCATGCATATTATCTTTAGAAATATTGATTTATATAAAAAGATAATTTCCTCTTTTGACTTGTAATGGCCCCCCAGTGGCACAGCGGTATGTCTGCGGACTTACAACGCTAGAAACCGGGTTTCGATACCCGTGGTGGGCAGAGCACAGATAGCCCTTGTGTAGCTTTGTGCATAATTAAAAACAAACAAACAAACAGACTTGTAATCAATATGTCTATAAATACACCCTAATATTCTCTTCCTATTAGCAACAGAGCATTGCTTTGATAGCTTGAGTGACTTACTTACTAATACGACAAGTCCTTTTCTTCAGTCATGCTAAACTAACCATGCTAGGGAAATAAATTAAAGTTTAAACATTACATCAAGCATAAAAAATGTTAAAATCGTAAAAAATTACTAGTTGTCTTTTTATCATGTTTCACTCCATATACCACCACCTTTGATTTGCAGTGAGGAGGTGACGCTAGAGGCCGCTAAGCTGGAAAGAAGCTAATTAGCAAACATATTCGTGTTGCATGTTTCTACATGTAGCTAAGGTCATCTTTGTTGACTGTATGTTGCAAGGTCAAAAACATATACTTATTATTTTACACGCGTGAATGTTAGTAGAGCAACTTTTGTTCCTAAGTCTCAAGCTAACGTGTAAACGTTTCTGCATAGATTTTCTCGGAAGTTTGCCTATTCAAATAGGTGATACAAAAACCTGTACAAATTTGCTTTGTTATGTTCGCGCTATATTGCACTTTGCTTTTCCTTCCTTTGTTCGTCAACTTTATTTAGGTTGTATTTATTCCTATCAGGAATTGATCAATACCAACGTAAACATAACAAATTACTGTTTATTACTGGTAATCCAAAACACATTCATGTAAAAATTGGTTTTGGTTCTTAATGGCAGAATATTACTTTCTTTCTTCACCTCTCTTGGTTTATTCGTTTTCTCTCTCACATCTCTCGATCTTTTCTACTTTTTCGTTGAAGTCCTGTCTTTTATATTCCTTTCTCTAACGAATGCTGAACTGGTCCCTTTCTTTATGATTATAACATTTCATAACCGTTGAAGGTCTTGTAGTCTTCATATCGACTGAACTTAGATAAGCAGCCGCTATATCAGCTCATTCCAGGTATTTTCTAATGACTTAGAGTACTGTTAATTCTGTAAAGTCAAAGGGAGCAACACCAAGAGAGGTCAGAACCAGAACGAGAAGAAGAACTGTGTGTTTATCTCACTCTTCTAGTAAGACCAAGGCCCTAGCGCGATCTCTTACAATCCTTAAATTACACGCTTCACTAATCTTCTGTATACATAATCTGAACCATTTCAATGTTACGAAGTTAGGTATAAGGGAACATCAGTTGAAATTGAAATAATGTGAGAAAATAGCCGGCTTTTGGTCAATGTCTAAGGAATAAGGGGATTTCTCTTTACCTCAGCAGCTAATTTGAATAATAAGGAACTAAAAAGGAGGCTTAATTCAGTCAACATTGTGAATAAACAACTTGTTTATTTGTTCACTTGTGTTTGCTTGTTTTCCCTTGGTGTCCGTGTTAAAGTTACTCTTTCATTAACAGCTAGAACCTGTGTTTTAAGGATACTTAGATACCAATGTATGTATTTAATACCCATTATGATGTATGTAACCACACATATAAACACAGTGTCGTTTGTCACTATACAGTAATTTTGTGCATTTCGTACTACATCTCACGACTACCTCTAGTGTAGCATATTTAACTGTTGTGAAGCCACATGTTACTGTACCTATCGCAACGACAATCATGACGTTTACAAAGCTTTGAGACATTGTGACTATTCAACAAAAACGTTAGGGATTTTAGGACTAATTCATGAATCTTTTCTAAAGTCCAACAGAATAGGTACGCCACTTTTAGAAACTTCTTCAAGACGCACTTAATACTAATCGACACTGTCCTACATAAAAACAGGTTTCATAAGAGAATGTCCCATTTCCAATATTCTACATTTTCAAAAAGAATCCCCGAACAATTCGTCTGGAACAAATCCTTAATTTTTCTAAGCATGGCAACAAAAAGTTTCTCACAACATTAAGATTTCGAAATGTCTTGTTAACAGTCTATGTTCTTTATGATTATTATTCTAAATATTAATAACGCTTATTTTTGAAACTTTTTTTTATTAGGCCTAGCGATACGAATAACTAAATTACTTTAGTGTGTACTATATGGACGAGCTTTCCAGTGGGCAACAGTTGTCATTAATGTTAATCAACTAGAAACTGTAAGGTCGACAAAAATATGATTATTTGTTTTGAATTTCGCGCAAAACTACACGAGGGCTTTCTGCATTAGCCATCCATAATTTAGAAGTGATAGACAAGATGGAAGGCAGGTATTTATCACCACCCACCGCCAACTCTCGGGCTATTCTTTTACCAACGATAGTGAAACTGTCCATCACATTATAACGCCTCTACTGCTGAAACGTCGTGCATGTTCGGTGACGGGGATTCGAACCCGCACCCGGCAAATTGCGAGTCAAGCGCCCTAACCACCAGACTATGCCAGGCCAGAAAGTATAAAGAAATAATTGAACTCGCTGTAACGGTAAAATTGATATGTATTTATTGTTTTGAATAAACGATAATATTGATACCGATAAAGGTATTTAAACCGAGACGTTAAGCAGCACTTTTAGCCGCGGCATAATGGCTAATAAGAGTTTTTTTTTTCAAGTACAAACTTTTAGCTCATAGCTCCGTCATCTCTTTGATTTGAGATCTAATTACAGTTTTGGACTGAGGAGGTCAAACCCTTTCGATTGGTGTGTTTGACCACGCCTAAGATCTCATAGATTAATTTACTCTAATCCTGCCTTAAAAGACTTTCAATTTGAGGGTAGGTTGGTAAGGATCCTGATGAGTTATAAAACCGAATCGGGTATATATACGAACCCCACGCTTGATATTGCTGGCGCACAAAAGTATAGCTAATAAAAAAGGGAAAGAAAAGGTCTCATAGATTAATTTACTTTGATCCTGCCTAAAAGAATTTCAAGTGCTGCGGCTATTGAGGGTTCCCTCTTGTTTAACTATGTCCTTATACGGTCAGATTGGAACAGTTAATACTTGTGAAATTTAGATAGCAGTTTTTCTGTAATCTAAATGCATACATCACATGCACGTTAAACTTTAGATAAGTTAAGCCTCCCCAATGCCACAGCGATATGTCTGCTGACTTATACCACTAGAAACCGGGTTTCGATACCCGTGGTGGGCAGAGCATCGATAGCCCATTGTGTAGCTTTGTGTTTAATATCAAACAACAGATAAGTTAAACCAATTTGATTTATGTAAAAAAGGCTTTATACAACTAACCATTAAATTATTATCACTTTTGATAAATCTTATAAATAAATTCTCATTATTAAAATATTGAGGATTTAAAAAACATGATTTTAGATTTTTAAGAATTAATGTAATTTTACACCATTATTTATCCATAATGTGTCATTGACGTTTTTCCATAGAACCGTTTACTAACTTGGTAAGGTAACTTAAACCGGTTGCTAGCATAGTACCATTTGTAACACAGAAGCTACTAAAACAAATTATTCACACATTAGTTGTAATATTTTCAAAACGAGACCCAAAATATTACAACTTTTGTGGGTGATCCGATGTGCTAACTACTTAACCTGGGTTTATTTACACACACATTAGGTTATGTAATAGACTACTTACTTACCTTGTTTCTAGCTTTATAAGTTGGACAAAGTTTTTAGTAAAGGTTTTTTTAACATAGCATATATTTCACTTTGGCTTCAGTTATTACATAAATGTTGATATATTGTTTTCCTGCTTACAATCAACATATACAGACCCTGACTGAAGTAGAGGGCCCAAGATTTCGAACATAGTTCTGCCTCTAGTATTTCCCGTCAAATTCCACAGGTAGGCGAGATTTATTTTTCCATACATCGCACCTCCTACGCCTGTGACGTTAAGATGGGAAAAGTGTTCCGTTTTAGCAAATTTTCCGACATTTCGTAAAGGCGTTTATATTTACCTCTTTGTTCCAGGTTACTGATATTTTAACATCTCCCGTTTAATTGATTCTAACTCCCACCATGTAATGGGCTATGTACACTCGGCTTTCATGCTATTGAAACAGAATTGGGGGAGACACATATTGTGCTGACAGTTATTAATATCTTTTTCCGACTACTGTTTCTTCCACATACATGAACAAACTATTAACACTATTTAGCCCTATGTTCAAGCAACCACAAGCAAACAGTTTGAAAATACAATAGTAATCATTTTATTTCAGTCATTTGTTTTCTTTAAGTATTTTTGACTACGAAGAATTTTAATGAGTGTACTGAACTACTTGGACGTAGTAAAATACAAAGGTAAAAATAAAACATTTAATATGGAAAGTCGCCAGATATAACTTTGACCTTTCGAAACGCTTTCGTTACTTGTGCACAATTTATAAAAACAAAACAAATTTGACGTAATCGCTGATACTTATTCATCGTTGTAGATATGCCTCATAGATTCCAGCCCGAGAGTGAATGAATACCATATTTAAATATTCCATCATTCACCCAATATACAAAAACATAGACCTCTCCAAACCTCTCCAAATCAGTAGCTAGCTTCTCCTAAGATACTTGGTAAACATGCTAGTTTTTTTCAGATCGAACAATCTTTTCACTTCGGTGTCATTTAATAGAATTGCTTTCTTGTTCACTAGAATCTTGTCGTCATACAGCATTTTCATGGCACGAGGTGGCGATCTGTACCAGAAAGAAAATAATATTCTTCTTAGATACGTATCCACAAAAACAGTAAAGTAATTCAAAATCAACGTTTACAATTTTCAGGATTTGTCGTAAACGAAGAAGAAGAAAGAAAAAATTAGTCTAATTAACAGAGAGAATCATTTAAAATGCGATGACCAAAGGGTGGTTCACAAACTCTTTGACGTCAGAATAATTACATCACTTGTATTGTCCAGTCAGAATATTAAAACTTAACTAGAAATTTGCGGCGTAAAACAAAGAATTGGAAAGAGGAGAACCAACGCTTGAGTCGCTGTTAACAATCTTAAAATTTTGATAATATTATGCCTTTTTATAACTAGTTTGCTTATTGTTAAGTGCAAAGCTGCACAATAGGCTATCTGTGCCCTGGCCACCGCAAATATCAAAACCCGATTGTTAACGTTATAAGCCCTTTGTCTTAGCTCCCCAGTGGCACAGCGGTGTGTCTGCGGACTTACAATGCTAGAATCCGGGTTTCGATAGCCGTGGTGGGCAGAGCACAGATAGTCCGTCGTGTAGCTGTGTGCTTAATTACAAACAAACCTTTGTCTTAACACTGAGCCACTGGGGCTTTTATAGATGGAGAATAAAATAGGGTCTTCGACCGAAAGAAAGACGAGTTCTTTATTTGTGACTAGATAATCAGTAAAAGTGACTATAATTGTCTAAGACACTAACTAGACACTAACAATTATATGTTAGTTACTTGTTACTTGTTCATCTTAGACGATTCGCGACAACAAGATAGAAATTAATTGCGCTTAGCCTAAAGTAACGGTTTTATGTTACGCATGCGCACTGAAAGATAGCTCTGCATTCGTCGCAATATCAAGAGCTTTATTGTATTTGCTTGTTTCCCTATGAACGCTCGAGTTTAGAAATATTTCTTATACTTACACTCGTGTCTAAGCGATGATCTCTAGAAGCACTGAGCCATTCCAACTCTTTCCTGTCCGACGAGCCTATTGTCTGACTTAGGATACCGGCGAAATATACGTAGTTAATCATGCTCTATATAAAAAAGAAAGAACAAGTGATAGTAATGTTTCTATTTTTATTACCCGATAACAACAGCATGGTGGATATTTCAACCACATAAATAACGTCAACTTTGCTATTCATAATAAACTGGAAATGAAACTTCAGTTACTAAACAACTCTAGCCGTAAATCAAATAGATAATGGATGGTGTTTTTAAGCTTCCTACTTTTTATTAGATTTTATAATTATTGGGTGGTTCCTTTTATAAGATTGTACAAATGGAGCAGCAAAAGAATAGGTCTTAAGTTAAAAGCAAGAAAACGTTTGTGACATAAAAACCCAATTAAGGAACATTCACACGAAGCTTACTTTTATGACATAAAAACCCAATTAAGGAACATTCACATGAAGCTTACTTTTGTGACATAAAAATCCAATTTAGGAACATTCACACGAAGCTTACTTTTGTGACATAAAAACCCAATTAAGGAACATTCACATGAAGCTTACTTTTGTGGCATAAAAACCCAATTAAGGAACATTCGCATGAAGCTTACTTTTGTGGCACAAAAAACCCAATGAAGGAACATTCACACGAAGCTTACTTTTGTGGCATAAAACCCAATTAAGGAACATTCACTAAATCTTATTTTTGCAGCACAAAAACCCAATGAAGGAACATTCACATGAAGCTTACTTTTGTGGCAATAAACATCCCCTTAAGACTTAAGGAACATTCATATGATGCTTACTTTTATAATGCTCATTATATGACACATAGGTTGTAGACGTTAAATTAAGACGATTTTAGAGCCTCAGCATGTGTTACAATTCATGTCGTTGTGTAAGTTCATGTTCTATCTGACAATTGTGCATCTTGACAATAGCTCTGCCTCGTAGTTTCCATTACATGAGGATATAATGTTCATAGCACACCACATTTCCCTGATACTTTTCATAATCCATCCAGTGTACGTGTATGACAGTTTCCCAGCGCACTTTCAGCAGTATAATCGCACAAAAATACATAGGCGACTTGACAAGTATATATCTGTATGGAATAGCACGAAAACCCATCCCATTCTGCACCTGCCTGAGATATGTGATGGTTGAAGGGACATTTCGACGAGACAACTTGCGTAGTTTTTCAGATGGAGAAATCCTTTTTTGACTATGTTGCTTACTGTTGCCTGGGTCATTTGGACGGCTTTTTTCTCTGACCCTTGTGTTCATGGATTCTCACTAGTTATAAGACATCGCATTTTTTTCGCTTACGAAGGATGTGGTACGACTTGTCGCAGGTCTCTTTTTTTTATGGCCCTGGTACACCAGATTATCCACATTCCTTCTTTTCCGTCTTAGAACTTCTAAATTTCCGATATGAACACATCTATATGCCCTGAATGTATCAATATTTTACGTAGGAAAAGGATGTTACACACCCAGCACAAAAGCGACCAATTTTGGGCGGAAAACAAGGACAAAAGATAGTTCTGATGCATGCCGTTTCTAAGGCTTTGATTGTCACGTGACTTGTTGACTTGTTTCAATATAACGTACTCAACCATTATATAGATATTTCATTCTCAAGTCATATACTTAGAATGCAAAAAAAAGTGACAATCGAAACATGAGAAAACATGTAAAAATGAACAAATGTGATTAGCGTTGCAAAAATTATGTAACACACGGTAACATTGGCAAACTTTCGTGTTGATGTTTTGTTTGGAATGACAGCATATCATGTAAAAAGCGCTCGTATGGACATCCAATTAATCGATGTTAACTTCCAAGTCTTCCAAATAATTATTATTTGTGTTAGAAACAAATACAGATAGAATAATCGTTGCCAACAATTCATGTTTATTGTGTCTGACATATTTTATACATTTTACACTAGAAACACACTTACTGGTGATAAGCATTTCCAAAAAATCTATGTTAGTTTCTTCTTATAAATGATTATAGCATATCCGTATCTCATTTTGGCCGTCTTTTCCTCATCACAATGAACCTATATATATATAAATAAGTTTTGAATAATATGTAGCATTAATGCTACTAATTTATTCTTCTGAATTATTCGGCAGACAAGCTGTTTACAATACTAAAAATAAATATAAAGCTTAATCTATCATTTGATTCACCACTTGTCACTGAATTATACTGGTTTGTGGAAATTCCACTAACTTGAGAACCTTTCCAACCATCCAGTAAATAAAGTGGTTATGATTATATTAAGGTACGCTTTCTAAAGATAAACCTTCAAAAATGCACATTACTTTTCCAAATTCCCAGATGTTGAACTTACTTCTACAGCTCATTTAACTCTAAACGACAACAACAGACTTTTTGGTCTATTTAGACCATCCTATCCACCAAATGCGACCATCAGGGGTCTGTAATACCAATTTCAGGTGTGGGGGGGAGGTGTAAGTTTCACTCGCGATCCTCGGTGATTCGGTTGTAGTATTTTAAACCTGAACATCTTAAGTTTAATATTATTATTATGCGACCGTTAGGCGTCTGTAATACCAATTTCAGGTGGGGGGAGGGGTAAGTTTTACTCGCGATCTTCGGGGTTTCGGTTGTAGTATTTTAAACTCGAACATCTTAAGTTT